GTCATAGTTTGTTCACTCTTCTTATTCAGTCCCTCTACAGCTCTACTCATATTCATGGGCATGCTTTGTCTTTTATAGTCTTCTAGTTGTATCTCGTTAATAACTTTACTGTTAAGAGTTCTGTCTGGAATGGCGAACAACCTACTGGWTTATCTGATTATCATGACCTATTTTAGATGGCGTGGTTAGAAATTTATTTTTCCCATATATGTTTTTGTACATGAACTCTGCAGAAGCACAATCATGCTTTTATACGCTACGAGGTTTTGTTCCAACATTTACTATGTGGAGCTAGAACATGTTCAGGTACTACGCTCTTCACCTCTCTTTTAATTTGTTTTAGATGTTGGGTTTGGTGATATGACGGTCCGTAGATTGACCAAGCTAACTCAAGATCAACTTTTTGGACTAATTTCCTTCCCCAGATTGATTGATTTCGTGTTCTTCTTTAGTCAAGTTAGCTTTTATGTTTTATTATAATCAACAAGTCCAACTCTTTTGATGTTTTCTTTTTTGGTTTCCCCTGATGTCAATGGAGCTCTTTAGGTGGTTTTTTGTTGATGAAGCAGCCAAAAGATAGCTAATGATGTTTCAATTGAAATCATGATTATGAACCCTTAAGATCATCTCCTCTTTCATCATTTCAAAATTTTGGTATATACCACCTTAGGCAAAATGTATATAAATTCTGGAATGCACAAAAATAACATTTTTTTATGTTTTTACTGTAGAAACATTTTTCTAGAGTATGTGCACATGCATACCTTCACTTCCATGTAGGTACATTGAAATTTCATAGAGTAATATGCTATTCACTTGTCAAAAACTTACAAATACAGTTGTAGGTCACATCAATAGACATTAAATGTTATCATCAAATTTTGACAAATGGATGATCTGCTTTTTCCAGGACGTGTTCTTGCTCTTCTCCTAGACCATGGATCTAGCCAACTCAAGTACATTGTTTCTGGACTAGTATGTTCGAAATAAATTTTTTAAAATTGTTTTGTACTTTTTTTGAGGTGTCTTCATTCTTAACTCATGTGTTTGTGGTCAAAATTGGCTTTTTTTTTTCCATGGTTGTGTTGGTGGAAAAATGAATGTATATTTATTTGAATGCAGTTCTTGCCAAGCCCATGCGTGGTGGTAAACTGCAATCCTGGTAAATGGCAAGCGAGCTGGTTTGTCGTTTCTGTTCAAAATCTCAATACATATTCATGTAGATCCTTTTTGTTTAATAGTTATTTTTAGTTGTTTTTGGTTACATCACTTGGCCAATATAAGCTCTGTCAGTGAATGGATTACCTACCGATGATTTGATTATCATGGCTTCTGAATTTATCAACTCATGCATTGTTTGTGGTTTTATTGGTGTTTGATTATGTAGTAGTCATTGGTAGCAAAATTCATGAGGTTTCTCTAACTACTTCTGATTAGATTGCAAGGTTAGTGCTGTCCACGTCAACAATTGGGGGCTGTCCCGATTGGAGAGTAGACTCGCCTTTGGGCTGTAGTACCGTGCCGAGCAGGTGTAAATCTTTTTTTACATTAATGTTGTCAAGAGGTGTCGTCCTCTTTCAAAAAAAAATCATGCTTTATGTTCCTTCAATTTGTGGTGACAGGCCTGAGATTCGAGATTTCTTGCATAAAGCAACTTGCTGATGTAGCATGGAGTCAGCCACTTCTGCTTTGAGATTACATTGTTTACATACAATCGGTGCGATACTCTCTTCTATCCTTGTTGATGTTTAAGCGAGTCTTGTATCAGCTGTCTCTTTTGCCTGTAGTGGTTTCATTGCATTTATAATTATCTGTGTGCTTCTCTTCATTTTGTGACTCAGGATTCATGAAACCAACTCTGAGGTTTTGCAATTCCTTGTTTTTTTGTTGATTATAATACAAGAAATATCAAGCCCATGTGTTGTGGTACATTGTAATCGAGTTGGTTTGTCCTCTCATATTTGATCTACAATTCGAATCCTGTGCACTCTTTCTATTTTATAATCTTTTTTATGTGTTTTCTGTTAAGTGACTTGACATTCTGGTTTTTGCCAGGGATTGGGCTGATGAACTATTTGATGTTGTGATGTGACCTGATTTGGGCAGTGTTGTTTGGGAATTTCATTTCCCTCTTCGTTTATGTTTTTATACATGAGTTGTGCAATAGTAATATATTCATGCATGTACAATTGTATACTTGGCCTGTTTCTAATCCAACACTTGTTATTAGGGAGTCTAACGTAACA